GTGGGTGACGGATCTGTCTTGACCCCTGAGGTGCAGGTTGCTCACAGAATAATAGTATCTGCGATGTGTTTAAGCAGGATGTATAATTTAACAGGGCAATTTGGAAGAGCGACACCTCGTTATTACAACTTTGGAGAAAGGGGGGAGGGAGGTAGAGGAGTTTCTTTTCTGATGGGGATTTGATACAGTTACAGACACAAAGGTTTTGTTTCTGTATGCGCAAAAACGATTGTCAGTGTAGATTATCACCAGAACCACAATACAGAGACGCTGTGGAGTACAACTGTGTTGCTCATATCTGCCTCGTTCTCTATTTAACCCCAAAACAACAATGAAACAACTGCCAATAACTGGATTGGAAATAGTTGTCAGTAAAATGCTATATGCTGTATATAATAAGAAAGTATGACTTCATTTTATTTCCCTTTTATTCCTCCAGGCTTGTAGAGTTGTTTAACAAATGTCATCAGCATCACCAGAGTTAAACCTTTGAAGGTATCTGCATCTTTAGGCTTAGTTTAGATTATTGTAAGTGTGTATTTTACCACAGTCTGGATGGTTCAGCTTGTATTGGCTTTCTTTCTACAAGGATCAGATTTTGGTTACGGTGAAATTAATGGCAGACGAGGAAAATTTGACTTGAAAAAACGTTTGGTTCCAAAAAAAATAGTTGTCCAAATTATTTCAAAATGTACAAAAAAAACATTGGTAATTTTAAGATCTGTAATATATTTGCAGATCATGTAGATGAACAGCAAGTTGGTGATGACGGTTGGATTTGTGTGGTATCACAGGTGTTAGACCTCTTGCACAGATGGTGCTTGATTGTCATCTCCTTCACCTCTGTCAATGTTAATGCACCCGTTAGGGGAGGATAACGTATCCCTTTATGATTCTTACGAAGTTTAGTGACCTATAATCCCTATTCTCACTCCACTCAACGTCAACCTGAGCACAAGTCTCATCAGCTTGAGTAATTGACAGCACCTGTGTGTGTGTGTGTGTGTGTGTGTGTGTGTGTGTGTATGTGTGTGTGTGTGTTAGGATGTTTTATCCATCTTGTGGGGACATAAACTTGATTACACAGTCACGGTGTGGGGACCAGCCTCTTTTTTTTGGACAAAATGGAGACAATGGCATGCAAATTATCACATTTTAGGATAAAAACTTGGTTTAAAGTTAAGTTATGGTTAAATTTAGGTTATGATATGGGTAAGGCTATGCTTAGGTTAAAGGTGAGGTTAAGTTTAGGTTAGGGTAAGGTTATGCTTAGGTTTAAGGTGAGGGTTAGATTTACGTAAAGGTTAACGTAAGTTTATAGTTAAGTTTAGGTGGAGGTTAGAGTTAGGTTAGATAAAGTTAAGTTAGATTTAGGTTAATGTAAGTTTATGTTATGGTTCCCGTGTGCTTAGTTTTACGATAAGGTTTGGGTATGGTTAGGTTAGCTTTAGGGTTAGGTTAGGTTTAGGCCGGTAGAGGTTAGGGTTGTGTGTGTGTTTTGAAGACATGTTGAATTGTCCCACCACAGGTGTTTCTAATTACATTAACGATGGCTCTGTTGTACTCAAGTGTCCCAGTAAGCCCTAATTATGAGTCGTCACGCATAAATCACGCCGAAATATTATGACGACAGTCCATATATTTGTTGTACGCTCAAAGAAAAAAGATGAGCGAAGAGTTTTTCCAGAAGCAAGTCAGTGTGGATGGCAAACTGAAAGTGTGAAATCTGAATCATAGCATAAAGACTAGTTGCTAGTTGAGACTCATTTTCAGACCTCATACCTCACAAAATCACAACACAGATATAAGCAGCTGATTGTAGTAAGACTATTTGTTCTTCCATAGACATGTGACATATCAGAACAACGCCCGGAAAACTACAAGTAAAATGTAGTAACAAAAATAAAATACGCATTAATCATGCAGAAACCTTCCATTTAATGATTTCTGGCCATCTGTTAACGTCGGCATCGTCGGTGCACCTCAGACGATGACGTAACGCTGCACAGGTTTTGTTCCTGTCGAGACAATAAAGCGTGCTCTTAATTTGAATTGCAGAAAAAATAAAGAGAGAGAGCGAGCGAGAGAGAGAGAGAGAGAGGGAGCGAGCGAGAGAGAAGGAGAGAGAGGAGCGCTGAGCTGCCAGCTCAGTTCAAATGGGAATCTGGTCCTCGGGGGTTCACGCACATGTATGCATGTGCGAGACAGAGAGAGAGAGAGAGAGAGAGGGAAAATGCAATTCCAGATTACATGTGCTTGTGCTGCAGCGTGGGAGGGCATGTGTTGGAGGGAGAGAGGGAGAAAGAGGGAGATGATGGAGATGCTGCCCGGCAGTGAGTGTGTGAATTGATGTGTTTGACATGAAGTGGGATCTTCATGTGGAGATGCCAGTAAATAAAGACTGAAGACCAAAAGGCTGATCCGGGGAAGAATTATTACTACGAGTTGAGGCAGTGATGTGTACAGCAGTCTACTGTACCTTCTACTTTGCACATCTCCTAGTAACCACAACGGACACCATTTTGAATGTTTTACGTTACTGCGTGTCAGGTGGTTGAGAAACTAAGAGAAGTCATATGAACAGATTCATACAGGAACGGTAACTCCCAACTGGATGAGCCAGTGCTCTTGTTTCTACGCTTGAACACAGTTTAAAAGCTCCACAGTTACACAGCATCTTCAGTGGTGACAGTGAAAAAAGACTGAGTAAATGCACGCTATGATATGAATGAATGAATACGTGCGTCTTCCTCTTTTATTTTGAAATTGGTGCAAAGACAAAATCAACAAAAATGGTAAAAGAAAGTCAGCCCAGTTGGCTGCAAACCACGGATACATTGATTTGCATTCGGTCAAGTGACGTATAGTGTATCGAGCAACCGTTACTGAAAGTCACGTGGTATAATAACGGGTATCACAAGCGAGAAAGTCCACTCGGGGAAGGTGGCAGCGGTGGTGGTGGGTGGACGGGTCAAACAAACACAGGACTTTCATTCAGGAGACTGCAGTCCATGTCACTTGTGAGACCAAAAGTTCATATTGACTTTAAGTTTGTTTTGTAAGAAAGTTAGTTATGTTACGATATTACTTGAACACAATCCGTGATCTGTTTGGAAGTAGCAATCGTAGTTTTGTTGACTCCACCTGACCAAGACTTTCACAACGTTAACTATGAAGCATTGTGCATTTCTGCAAGCGTGAGACGAGCTGATATGAAACGTATTTAATGCAGCGTTTATGTGATGGAGACTTGAGGAAAACATGGAAGCTGCTGAGACTGCAGCAACAAGTATTATAAACTGTGCAGAACATTGTTGATGCGTGTTTTGTTAACGCCTGGTAAACGTCACCTGGACTGTGGCCATGCACTAGAAACCAGGATGAACCGGATTATAAATGCTGCACACCCCAGTGAGTGTGTTTGGGGGATGTTTTTGGCCCCTCTTGTCTTTGATTATTTCTCCTGCTCACATCTGTGCCATCATTGGCCCAGTTTCAGTTGTAAGAAATGTTTAACATAAACCTTGTAGGGACATCAGGCAACAACTTAATCGAACGGCAACGATTATAAATTTCATCTCCGAACTGTCGTCAAAAAGTGAAGTCTGAAACTAAACTCTAATCGGCTCAACCATCACTGAGTGTCCCCAAAACCCAAAATAGGTTTGCTCTCCTCCTCCTCCTCCTCCTTGTTTCTTATCACTGACACTTAACGAGCCTCCACACTCTTTCAATGGGACCTTATTTTGGGCTAAAGTTCAGGCTCGTGCACCTTCCAGTGCCTCCACATTCTGTACGTCTGGTTAATAAGAGTCTCAGACACGTCATTGCCATGATATTAAAACAATTCTTCAACCGCAAAATGATCATCTGTAGCAGTGGTACGTTGTTACTTTGAATTCTTGGAGAAAACTTTGTTTTTCTCTCATGCCTCCACGATGATCAAATAATAAGAAAAAACAGAGAAAAGTCTCGATGAATTGCAGCAAAACTATATGAAAACATCTGTTTACAAACTCCTAAACGCATGCATCTTCACTGAAACCTCAAAAACGTGGGTGAAGTGCTCCTTTAACTGCAGTTAGTGTCATACAGGACCTGAGAGGAACAACTGAAGATCCTGCTATTCATAAACGGCATCATCTCCAAACTGAACAATGATGTAATGTTCTAATACTGATGAGTCAGTCTTTTGAAAGGCTTGGAATGTCCACCGGAGGGCGAACTGCATCACCTGAGAGACCTCTGCTCGTCAGCACTTTATTTCCACACTCGACCGAGAGCTTCTCGAGTACGCACGGCGTGATTCAAGTCTCTCTCTCTCTCTCTCTTTGTAGCATCGCTCACATTTGCACAACAGATTCCGGAGACAAGAGGCCACCTGAACGTGAGGCTACTTCCTCCTGAAACACGCCGTGATGTTGCTCAACAAGCTCCTCTCAGGAACTGTAACAGAATTCTCGACACAGAGCTCACACCGAAATTATGAAAAGATGAAAGCATCGCTGAAAGCTTTCCGAGCCGCTTCCCGGCGAAGTATCTCTAATGCATCGATCAAAGTCTAGCTGATGAAAAGCGCTTTGTTCGCCCGATTATTTGCTGTGGTGTATTAAATATATGTAAATATTAAGCAGGCTTGTTGTGCAGTCCTGTCATCATTCCTCTTTCCACTTGTCATGTGTTGAGCTTCAGTATGACATCGCTCGTTCTCTTTGTGGTCATGATGGAAATGCAAAACATATTGGAAAACTTTAGCCTCAAGTGCTCGCTCACAGCGATGAGTGAGAGAGACTGCTGACAATAGGGTTGATGCTGCATTGTGAGTGTGTGTGTGTGTGTGTGTGTGTGTGTGTGTGTGTGTGTGTGTAACCGATGCCCATTTAAAGCCGGGCGCTTGTCTTTCGTCCTTCAATCGCCAATTAACAAGGGCCTATTTAATTGCAGTGGTTTGGGAGGGCATACAATTACCACTGGAGCTGAACCAAGCTAAACACACACACACACACACACACACATACAATTCTTCTTAATGAGCAGCACCATCAGCTCTCCTTTCTTCCTCTCTTTCATTTGCATTTTGCTCCGCTCTCTCCTCCTCACCCTCCCACCTGCTCTGTTGAGGCGTTTAGATTAAACGTCCCCCTGTCGTCTTCGTCCTCTTCTGTCTGTCGCCTTTTGTCCTCTGACGGGTTTCCTTCAAAGCTGTTGACAAATCTCCCGTCCTCTCCTTTTCTTTTGTCTCAGATGTTTCCTCTAACCTTCTCCTCCTCTTTCCTTCCTCTATTGCTTTCTCGCCTTTGCAGCCTGGCATCACCAGAACGCTGTGTGAATTACACACACGTGTATTTTTGCGTGATATCACAACGGCGTTCTTGCTTTTGGCGTCATTTCACGCCATCCAGTCCGTACTGACTGTAAATGTGATAATGAATGTTGTGTGAATATGCTATTGATGAAAAAATGGCGCTCAGAGCAAGTGAGGAAGAGCAAACGGGGTCAAACAAACCAACGTCTCCTCGTTTGATATCTTAAATGACAGTCAGCAACACACGTCACGTTTCCTCTCGTTACATGCGTTCAGTCTTTCCTAAATACTTCAGTTAGGTTCAGACAACAGAACTACTTTTAGGAAAAAGATGGTTAAAATAACTCCCACAGTGCCGTTACTAAAGTCTTTATGTGACAAATGAATCCACGTTGACAGCGGCCTCCTGGACCGTGATGTTTTCTGTGAACGAGGCGATTTGTTGCCTCCACATAACAGCGACTGTTTCAGATCAACGGCGTTATGTTGTTAATGACACACCTTTTGCTTTCAGTGCGTTTCAGGACACGTGGAGTGTGCTTAAATGTGGCGTGCTATGAGATCCCGCTGCACCTTTCTTTCTTCATGCCCCGCCCCCTTTTCTTCATCTCTTCTTCTCATACTTTTTCTCTGAGACCTTTCTCCTTATACACACATTATAAACTGTTTTAATTTCTCCTGTCGTATCCATTACTGAAGAGCTCTGAGTGCATTCCTAACGAGGCCTCACTTCTCTTTTCTTTCCTCCTCTCACGCAGGTTCATATAAAGGCATGTGTAAGCAGATAGATCACTTCCCCGAGGATGCGGACTATGTGGCGGATGCTTCCGAATACTTCCTACGTGAGTCCTTCCATCCATATTCCAGAGTTTATTATTGTTTTCAACCTTTAAAAAGTTTAGTTTTAGGGTTAAGCCCCTTGTGATCATTCATTTTGGGTTTCTTTAACTTCACTACCACCGTTTTACTGATATTCCTCTTTTCATGGAACTTGTTCAGTGTTTTTAAGTTAATTTTGTGGAAGAAGTCTCCAGTACAGCCCAAAAAATGATGTTCCCATGTTGCTAAACTTTCTCGATTACGTTTCGAAGGAAACATTTGTTCTCCTGGATTATGGTTCACAGTTTGAAACACTTGGTTTATGTTGTGGACTGTCACAAAACAAAACCTGATTATGTTTAGTAAAAACATCAGAATGCTTGATTATTGAAGACACAGACGTAAATTAAAACCTCAACTTTTTGGTTTCACATGAAGACCAGTCCTCTGTGTTTGTTTGAAACATCCATCCACACAAACCTCCGTACATGGAGTTCTGAGGAGTACGATTAGAAAAGGAAATATGCCTCAAAACTTTGTTTGGTTGTACGACACAGCTGAAATAGCACTGCCATATCACCACCCTCATTCTACAATTCAAACACAATTTAATGTGAAATAACAATAGTTTCAAGTGGACAATATATGGAATCTGTGGAATCCAAAGGAGGTTGAAGTCACTGAGATACAAGAATATGTCAGCAGAAAACAGTTTGAGCTTGATGTGAGAGGGAAAGAGAGAGGGGATGGGGCACGGGGAAGCCAGTGGGATGAGAAGTTAGAGGTGGAGTAGAGATGACAAAGACGAAGAGCAGCAAGAGACTGAAGATGAGCGACTGAAGAGAGCCAGAGCAAAGGTGCAGAGACTCGGAGGAGGGGGAGGAGGGGGGAAGAGGTAGATTAGGTCACTGATGTGGAAGAGCAGAAAAGAGCGATGAAGACAAATTCCAGGAGGTGGAAGAGGACAGGAGGACGAGGTGGCAGGAGACGGGCGAAGGCCAAGGAGAAGGGAAGGTTGAGGAGGTGAAGGACACGGAGTAGGGTACCAGTGCAGTGCTGTTGCTGTCCCAGCGGCTTGCCAATTAGGACACTTTCTTCTATAAATACTCCAGGCTCCGCTATATGGGTCACACCTCACTCCCTCTCCTCCTTCCTCCCATCCATCCCTTTGCCTCCTCCCTCTTGCTTTCCCGTCCATCTGTCTGTCCGTATCCACCGAGACTCCGCGCTCCCGTCCGACAGCTGGTGGATGGAGGCCATGGGGTGAAGCGAAGGGGGGCTGATGGGGAACCGGACGGAGAGGGAACCAAAGCTCGGGGGTCTCTTTCCAAAACACACCAGCTTCTTTCGGGAAAGAAAAACTCTCGATCAATTGAAAATGAATGCAGCAACTATCCCTTCAACAATTTCCAATAGTGGAGGTGCAGCGTGTTGGGTTTCTATGTGAGGTGTGAGGATTTGTTATGGTCCTGTAGGAGCTCCTGAGCCGGGCCCTCCGTAGAGAGCAGTGTTTATACAGCCACTCGAAGGTGTGGAAGCCTCAACCGAAGCCAAAAAAGCTGTACCCATTCAGATAAATAACCCCCGGCAGAGATGAGACATCGATCAGCTGGTGCTCTGGTATCCGTTGCTCCCCTGAGGCCACTGGAACAGCAGCAGCCAGGCGCTGGAAGATAGAAGCTGCTATTCATTTTGAATTACTGTATTTTGTCCGGATGAACCACCGATCCTGCATATTTCCTTCCGCTCCCGCTGTGTGCGTCGTCATGGCAACCATTTGAAATATCTGTGCTCTTGTGTGTGTGTGTGTGTGTGTGTGTGTAGCTGCTCTGTGAGGTATTGGTGCACTCGAGTTTGGGACTAAACCTGATGAACTAGCTGAGAAATACGGTACAAAAGACAGACTTTTTTTTTTGTGATGCAGTGCAATTTGGTCTGAAAATGTCTCCCAAAAAAAAGTAAGAAAAAGGGGTCAGAGATTGGGGGAGACCCTGGATGGAGAGGGTCCGTGGATTGCTACATACGCTATTTATTTTTGTTGTCGCTCCACATTGGTGTGTCAGGTCTCTAATTGTCCTTTTTCAAGCCGTTCTCACTCCCATCTCTTCAAACACGGACGCACCCTTTACTGTCTGTATGAGACGCACCGAGGCACCCTTTACCGTCTGCATGAGACGCACCGAGGCACCCTTTACCGTCTGCATGAGACGCACCGAGGCACCCTTTACCGTCTGCATGAGACGCACCGAGGCACCCTTTACCGTCTGTATGAGACGCACCGCGCTTTCAGTTTCCAACTCCAGTGAAAACCCTTCAGCATCATCATAAGACGCTCAGAGCAGTGGGCATAGTTTAAAGCGCGAGAGAGTCCATGCATTGTGGGTGTGACGGCAGTTTGGACGGGTCAAACCAACACAGGACTTTCACCCTGGAGACCGCTGTTTGTGTGAAACAAAGTCAACATAGACTTATTTTACAGTAGTTTCTTTCGTAACGTATGCACTGAATTCATCGCCACATGTACATATTTACGAATTCAATATTTTTCTTCAGCCCAACCAAGTTTACTTTGCACTGCAGCTCGATTCCCACGATGTTGCAAGATCACGCAAGCCGGAAATTCATCCTGTCAGGCTTCAAGCAATGCGTTTGTGTCTAAACAACAATAGAGTATTTCTTCAAAGAACGGCAATGGAGGCTTTTTCTCCATAGAAAAGCTGTTTCCGCTGTTCTCCCTACTGGCTTCGTCAAGAGTGTGACTGACGTATGCTTCATCCAATCACTTGCCAAGCATTTTTTTGTCCCCAGTGAGGGCTTTTAGATGGTTCTGTGTAACAAACCATTTGGTGAGTCAAGTTATAATGAAGTACTTTTGTTGCCTAAACCTAACCTGGTACCAGAGTCAGTCCAAACTGACTCTAGAGAGGAACCTACTGCTTCGATGTTTGAAGCTCGGCGCTACTGAGCAAGCAGCGGCATCTGACGAGTTGGGTGTGAGAATGTGTTGTCTTATTCTGTTTGTTCACTGAGCAACCACTTCTATGGATTGCACGGTTACATAATCACTATTGTAAATGCACTAACACACTGACTCTTGCACTCTTTGCTTGTTGTTTCCCTGCAATCGCAGTGATATGGCAATCAAAGCTCATTTGCTGTAAGTCAATAACGGTGTCGGCTAAATTACGAAAAATGACAATATAAAGTGTGGATGATGACACACTCTGACAGATGGAAGCGATGCAACAGTTGTTTATCGAGGCAGGGTTTTCTCTATCACTCACTCGTACACATTCCCCTCCTGGAAGCCTCCCAAAACAACTACAACGACTTGGTTGGGTGCCTCGTTGCACATTGGCTGAGAGAGGGAAGACCACTTCTCCTCCACAACTCCCTGCAAGTGTTGATTCCTCAATTCTCAGGCTTCTGCTACCTGAAATTCCGATCGTATTGTTTTTACTGTCAGACGCCTGAGATACTGATATGAAACAGATTGCCAAGGAAGCTCAGGGAACTATAGCGCTGTAGTGTTTGTTGACAAGTGGGCTCCTGATATCCTCAATGCAATGATAGGTGTCCTCAAACAGCAGAGTTATTACAGGCAAATCCACACTGCATCCTACAGGACAGAAAGACTAAAATAGTGTTTCTGCAGAGTTTGGACAGGTTTGACATGAACCCTCATACCTAATCTGGAAAATGCATTTTAATTCGGTGTTTAAAATGTGTTACTTAAGTATTGTTATTGACAGTTTTTTTTGCGATCTAACGCTCAATGCTGCACTTTGTCGTTTTTTTCTTATGCATATTTTTGTTCAACGTCTAGTAAAATACAACTTCTTCCTTCCAAATGCTCCACGGACAATAGAAGACAGATTGTACTAGATCATTCCCAAATACATATTAGTCTTTCTAATAACTATCAACTATCTACCCGGTCCAAAATGGAGCCGTAGAAAACATACAACAAACCCCACATGCACAAATTTATTTTTTTTAAATGAGAGACGTAATCTGAAGGGGACCCGAGAAAATTAGACCCGATCCAAAATGTGGTTGTCTCAGAAATAGTCTAATAGAGGAAAAGCAAGAACACAGGCAGCAGCATGGATGATGCACAACCAATTAAAAAGCAGCCACAGTCACAAACAGTTGCGATTAGGCGGCAACCTCCAGTTCTGAACAGTGAAGTCAGTGCTTCATGTGTTAAAGCTGCATTCTCTCTAGTGTCCACCAGGGGGCGACTCCTCTGGTTGTATAGAAGTCTATGAGAAAATGACTTCTTCTCTCTTGATTTATTACCTCAGTAAACATTGTAAACATGAGTTTATGGTCTCAATCTCTAGTTTCAAGTCTTCTTCAATACAGCATGATGTTCATTTAGTACATTATGGTCCATTTAGAGTCACACAGACCATAAAGCAGGGGATGCTTTAGGGCGGGGCTATACGGTGATTGACAAGACTCTACCACGGTTTTGTGCGGTCTGGGACTCCTTGTTTTCGTCTCACAACTTTAACCCTTTCACAGTGTGTTTGCACTCAATGACAGTAAATTATAACACCTTGGTTGCCCAAAAATGTCTAATTCAGCATTCGGTTGTACTCTCGTGTCACTTCTGATTGCAAAAGAACAAGATGACGACGGCCAAAAACCAAAATGCCGAACTCGTGGCTTAAAAACTTTAGTCCACAAACCAATGGGTGACGTTATGGCCACTTCTCTTTTAGAGCTTGTGGTTTGCAATATGATACTAATGCACTAAGAACAAATGTAAATTCATAAAACTAAATAAAGAAATAACTTTAATGAAGTCCATTTTGCTCCAACACTTTCTGCAGCCAGCTGGATGATAGACAGAAAATAATGTTTTTTAACCAATTGGATATCAAATCCCAAGTAACTTAATAACAAATACAATGTTTAGTCCTGCTTTGATTTTTACTTTTAATTCTAGCATGTGATCAGAGCTGAGAGTATGCTCAGATTCACTGGGATAGTCATTATTTATACATGAATCACT